TGTTGTTTTATAACTTTTGTTTTAGAAAAAAATGATCTTTTCGAAAGACATAGGTTTTTCTGCCAATAAGCAATGATGGCCTTTGCCGTATTTGGCAGTACTTTCGGAATTTTTGGCTTGCAATGCCCCTTAATTTTGTGTTTGATATGGTCTTCAAACTTTTTTATTCGCGTTCCATTATGAAGACGAAATGCGCATCTGGCTCAATAAATTAAAAGCCTGGTATCTTCGATTAGTTTTTACACTTGTCGATGGTTAATAACGGCTATTTTCAACTACATGGATACTGCATTAGGTCGAATCGTTGCTGAAGTCATTAAAAAGTAAATAGCCCCTACAGTTAACCAGCAATTCGAGCTACATCTTTTAGATGGTGTATAAACAGGAGCCGATCCGGAACCTTTGTTCAGCTGTACTAACAGAGATGTGACTGACATGATTGAAATTAAAGCTGTAATACAAAGTATCGAACCAGAATCATCTGGATGAAAACCAGAAGTCCTAGTCACTGGCAAGTAAATTCTTAATTATGAAACGTTTTGAAAATTTACAAAAGTTATCACTTATACTTCTAAATTGACACGTGAATAAATAATTTACAACTGACATACAAATATCACTACTTATTTACCTTAATCGGGTTTTGAATGATTTAGCACTTAATGAAAAAAAAATTAAAATAAAATTAGGTGTTTGTAAGAAAGGTTGTTGTGAGAACCTTGGAACTTATCGGTCGATCATTAGATGGTTTAACAGCCATCTTTAAAAAAAACCAAACTTGCTACAAATAGAAGCTATCGCTTGCAACACACAGTCGTCAACAAAAGACTCGTGAGTATGCCACTGACAAGCTCTAAATCTCCCAGAGTGACGACAAGTTGTGAATATAGTCAACACCATATTCTTAGAGGGTACACTTTACTTAAATATAAGTTACTGACAATGTTCTTAACTTTACATGTGTTGGGTTAAGTAGAACTTCGAACTATGTTTTGCAGTACTTTACCCTACATATATTTTTTGGTTATCTCTTGCAATATAAAGAGCATTAACACATATATAGAATAAAAAGCACTTCACTATAAATCGGTATCATAGACAATGAAAAAATCTGTGAAACAATACAACATAATACTTAAGGTACTGAAAGCAAACGAAAGGTACTATATCAAAGTAGATTTCATTCATATAGTATACCATCATGAACAATGCAGACAAATATGATCTAATGTAATAACAACATGTACATTTCTTAGCATATTTTTGTTTTCATGTCAAAGTAAACATCGGAAAAAACTAATAAAAAAAAATACTTCCTGAAGAAATCGGACAAAAATAGCTTACTATACGTTACTGGTAACTGTTGATACCAAATCTATATTGATCACAATGATGAAAACATATTACTATTTACAAATTTAGATATATCACAAAAGATCCCTTAAAAGTTTCAAACATAAATATGTTTTAAACTAAAAATAGAAAAAAAGAAATTGCAATACGTAAATTATTTGCCAATAACTTGGATGAAGAACATGAGCTATAAAAGTGATATTGGAATTTTATTTGATTGCTAAGTTTTCAGAGTGTAATCAAGCAAATAATTTATTTACCTGCAACTAGATCGTTATTTGTAAGATTTGATCAAGGCATTCAAACAAAACCAAAATAAATCTTAACACTTTTTGATATGTCAATATAATTATACTTTTCACCAAGGTGTTATTTAGGGATTCTTTTAACGCCCTTACATTAATACGATTTTTATTTGTACTGTCATTCCCCTTTTTGTAAACTTACATTTAATGATATTTATTGTTACTTGGCTGTGTAAATAGCTATATAAGTTTAGTGGAACTAAGATCTAGCGTGCAGTATTGCAGTATTGTATGCAAGTTTTCATGTAAATCAAACGTATTATGCAGTAGCGGACTGCCAGCTGATCAACCTGATCCTGAAAATAGCCGTTGTGAAGGCAGTACTTCAAACCAAACCAACATAGTCAACAAACCAAATCGATCTACGCAAAACCAAAATGGCCGCCTTCTTCCAACTTGACAACAACATTATAATGCTCACCAAACGCCGACCATGCGAGGGCTTAACAGCCAGTCAACGTCGTTAACAACCACCCCAGTAGCAGTATTATGCAGACAAATTGTGCATCAGTTACAGACAGCAGTACAGTTGACTTTCAAACGCAAATTAAAACACACAAGACTTCAGTTACTGATTTTTTTTTACCTAATTATAATTCAAATAAGAAGGCATGATTTAATTGTATTTTGAGTTTGCTTCCAATAACTGTATGCTTTCATGATACAGCAATGTAAGATTGGACATTTAGTAATGTTCTTATACAGCAGACTTTTCGTCTTCTGTCATACCAGTGCATATCACAGAGTTCAGAGCTTTTCTAGTTTCCTTTTTATGTTGTTTTTATATCTCTATATAAGCTGTCTATTATATGATAAAGATAAAACCTACAGGTGAAAGAGCTAGGTGAAAAGCTTAACCATGTAACATATAAAGGTGGAAGGAAATATTTGGTGCAAATGGTAAAGTTTGCAGTATTTTTTGCACAGTTATATGGTAATAAGAATATGTGGTTTACAAAAAAGACAGTTTTACATCAAATTTAATATGTAAGGTAATGATATATCTGCTGGAAAACTAGGTCAACAATGTTTACAGTGGTGGAGGAGCAGCAGGTGATAACTCTTCAGAAGGACCTCAGGTCATCACTGCTCTTCAGTGGGCTTTGTTTTGCTAAAGATAGGCGAAAGATACCAAAGGGACATTCAAACTCATAAGTAGAAAAAAAGACCAGCAGACAAACAACAGTACACAAAACACAACATAGAACACGAAACACTGAGCAACAAGAACACCACTAAAAACAAGGGGTGATGTCAGGGGCTCTGGAAGGGTGAACAGATCCTGCTCAACAGGTCTTTAATTTTCTTACCAAGTTTTTTGTCTTTTCTTCATCAGAGCAATAGAACACATGTTATGCTCAACAATGATAATGGTACATGCTTGTAATGCCACTTGACCTTTCAAAGCAAAAATAAAGACACAATTTTACCTATATATCCCTGAACTTTCTATGAATGCATTTAGCAATCAGTTTTATCAATTCTGTTACTATAAGTTAAAGTACAAACATAAACTTATGTAGTTTTATAAACTGTTTCTAGTCTAATGGTACTTGATTCAACATTGAATGGAAAAACTATTTGCCATAGCAGGTCAATAAAACATGGTTTCAAATCGATGTAAACATGCTAAAGGAAACAAAAAATATTATTTTCCTTTCAAAAAAGATAACTAAATTTTGCCTTCAATTTTAAAATGTCTTTTTTTCTCTAGGTTAATCTGTTTCACTTACATAAAACCAATAGATTTTTAACTTGAATCTCATTGACATAATAGAATGGGTCATCAAAAGTGTATTCCTTAAAGTTGTATATGGGCAATATCAACCATTTTTTATAACATAATTTCTAGTGATGTTATTCCTGGTGAGCTGATACAGGGAAATTCCTCCTAACATTAACAATGTTTATTTTTTGCTATTTCTACTGACTATCAGCAAATGGTTTCAGGTATTGACGAACAGTAACTTTCTCCAGTAATTACCTGATATTTTGATCATTTATGCTGAGCCAGACCATATATACGTATACTGATTCCCAAACCTAAATCAAGGTCAAATATATTCAAATAATTATTGCATTGCAGAGAAGAATATTTAACAACTCCATCTTAAATATGATTACTGTAAATTAAGAATTTTTGGGATAATTGAGACAGGATAGGTTTCACAAAAAGAAAAACTTGCATTTTTAAATACAAATACAGCATTATTGAAGGGACAATTCCTTGAAATCGCAATTTTTCATCTCACATTTTTTTCAACTGTTCAACTATCACAATAATAAATGCACACAAAAAATCCTGAATAAACTCATCATAGATACCAGGATTGAAATTTTGTATTTGCGCCAGACGCGCGTTTCAACTACAAAAGACTCATCAGTGAAGCTCGAATCAAAAAAAGTTAAAAAGGCCAAATAAAGTACGAAGCTGAAGAGCATTGAGAACCAAAAATTCCTAAAAGTTTTGCCAAATACTGCAAAGGTAATCTATTCCTGAGGTAGAAAATATACTGTATTTTTTGCTGTTAGTGTTGATATTTAGCAGTGATCTGTATAGATAAATATGAAAAGGCTAGTTAAAAATGAATTTTCTAATAAAAACAATTATAATTTGAAAATTAATAAAGTTAGTTATATATGTATTTTACTGGCTATAAATATGCATAGAATTATGTATATCAACACTTTTTTGTTCCCATAACTTATGCATCCAAATACCCAATTTTTTATTTCATAAAGGAAACCTTTTTTACCATGTGTCTTATTTTATAACTACATTAATGTATTACACATTTTGTTAACTGTTCAATAATCACAATAATAAATGCACACAAAAAAAACGTCAATTTACTGTATTGTTTGCTGTATATGTTGATGATATTTAGAAGTGAAAAGGCTAGTTAAGGATGTTCGCTACTCTTGTTTCAAAATAACAAGCTTTTTAAAAGATTGTTATAAATTGATAGTATATAAATAACGGAACTAAAAAAGCAGAAAAAAATGAAGGGTCTGTGACTTTGTTTTTGAGATATAAGCAAATGAAAATTTGGCGGGAAATGATTCTCTCTAGATTTTTCATACATTAAACATTGGCACCTTTTTTCTTTCAAAAACTATGAAAAAATAACAAGGATTTTATAAGATTTTCAATTATGGCTTTTTAAACTATCTGAAATAAAATTATGAAAAGAAAAGAAGGGGTTAGCGGGCAAAATATTTATTAGCACTACATTGATTAAACAAAAGATTCGGAATATCTGACAAAAATTCAAAAACAGGAGGAGCAAACATTCTTAATAATGTATTTTCTAATGAGAACAAATATAACTTGAAAATAAATAAAGTCTGTTGTATATGTATTTTATTGGCTATAAATGTGAATATAAATATGTATATCAACACTTTTTTGTTCCCATAAATTGCATCCAAAAAAAATATTAACCTGATTTATAATTTCAGAAGAGATAAACCTTTTAAATTTTTGACTTATGTTATAACCACATCAATGTATTAAAATAAAAATACAAACATTCTTAAAACAAAATAAGACTCTCTCTCAATGGTGCAGGTATTTGTTTTGTTTGTTAGATTAAAAACACAATTCTAGTGTGTATTAGACCATACAAAGTTAATGTTTTAATTTATCAAAGACAAAATGGATACCTGCTTGCACAACACAATCTATTTCCTTATTTTTTACTGGTACTAGAGTGTACAAGATAAAACTTAGGAACCATATTTATTGCTCAATGTCAATGTATCTAGAAAACAACAGAGGTTTAAGACTGAATTTTCCAGGATTTCAAGTAGGCTTAAATTTACATAAACTTGGATAAAAACAAGTATAAAAAAAAATGTTAAAAAAATTGCTAAATTTGTTGATTTCTGTGATGTCAAAAATATTGTGTCACAATTTATGACACTTTAAAATATAAAGCTATTTGATTTTGTTTATTCCAAAAACAGAAACAGATGTGGTGCGTTTCTTTAGTTGTTCGGTATACTTTATACTTTTTGTGTGAGTCTTCAAATGAAGAGGTGTGTCTTGCCTGCATTCTCCAAATCGCTCAGATCAAAAATAAAAAAAACAGGGCACAACTTTAAGTCCTGTAGACAACTCTGTTCAAATTTGTTTCAAGGAGTTGTTGAGTAATAAACTGATATAAGCAGAAATGGTCAAGTCCATGTTTTGGTATGGGAAACTCCAGAATATATTTGGATCAAACAGAAGGCGCACACTTTCATGTACTGTAGAAAAATCTGAGCAAGTTTGTTTGAATTCTGTAAAACCATTTCAAGGAGTTGCAGCAAACAAAAAAGTGTGATGCAGACAATGACCATAAAAGAACATCCTGACTTTTTAAAATTTTGGATTCTATATTTTTTTTTCTTTCAATTTATTTCATGCCCATCAATAGAAAGTAAAGGGTTGCTCTTTGTACTTTTAAATCATTAAGGTCAAGTGTGAGAAGGGCGTTCTAACAGGTAAAATGTGAACTTTTAATCAATCAAGTGACATTACAATCCATAAAACATGAGAGTTAAAATCAGGAAAAAGTATTACTTATTGAGATAAATTAAATGTCGACTATATAACGTTTTTTTTTTTTACCTTACATATATACGTACTTCAAAAAGATATTTTTTAAGCAAAGTAAAAATCTAACTTCTATATTCCTTACTTGCTGCAATTTTTTTTATCCTTATTTCTTCACAAAAATCAATTTTCAATACATTTTAAAGATAAATCAAAGAGCATGCACCCTGGAGACAGATCTTTACAAGGCAACAACTATAGAAGAAGGAGGAATCATTGGTATTTGAGTTCACCTATCTGATTATGATTCAAAATGACATTTATTACTTTAAGATAAGGAGTATTGTTGCTACAGCTATTAACAGCTTCATTTGGTATTAAAAACTTCACAACTTCTCTCTAGAATGAGATTGTAACCTGTTAATTAGCAATCTTTTAACAAGCATAGATTGAAAAGAATGATTTTATCATTAATGTTTGTGTGAGTAGATAAAAGCAAGGCACTCAATAAAATGACAGATGTTCCACCTATTGTCACACATATAAGTTTCATGCACCATCAGTAACTGCTTTCTGTCCATTTTTCTGTTCAAATTTTGATTTGATCTTATTTTACATTTCTACCGATTTACAAATTTGCTGCTTTTTTCTAGTTGTTTTATATACTTTCTTGTGGTTGGTATTGGTCTACAGTTGGTTTGTTGGTGTTAGGCTGTACTGCTATGATTCTTGTCATTTGACTTTTATTTATATTCAGCCTTTGTTCTTTAAGACTTCTTTCCATTTGTTGGCAAAGGTAGAAATGTTTTCAATTCCAATACCTGAAAATATCAAACATGCTTTGAGCAGGTGGGATACTAAAGGACTTTTCAATTTAATATTTCTCACTCATAAATATTTGTCCATTTTTTTTTCATATTGTATCTCATACTACAACAATGTTAACTCACCACTACCATACGTTGTATTATTTGTATATTGTTTTTGCATGTCATTCTCTGTACCTTTGATTGTATTGGTTTTTAGAGAATAAACTAAAGTATTGCCCCTTAAGGTCACTAGGGAAGCTGGTTAGGAGAAAACGATTTTGAGCTATTCGAATGGGTATTTTAAGGTGTTTAAAGACAGTAAAATAAAATTCCAAGTTCTTAATCTACAGAAATTGCCAATTTATATCCTCTTTTTGAAAAAAAAATCAGCACACAAAAATATTTTCCTACAGAATATGGTGATTCCTGAGAATTTAAAAATCCAGAAAGAATCCAGTAATGGGGGTCCTTATTCTGGGGGCTATTTGTGAAATCTGGAGATTTGACTTATATATTCATACTTTTTAAGCTTTCATAGTTAAACCATAACTTAACAGCTAATCTTACAATAATAATCTTTCATTAAAAAAAGTGTTTGACAAAATTCTAAATATCTTTCTCTACTTTTTCATGCACTTTAACTGGTACATGTAATGACCAGTTGGATTGAGTTATCTTTTTTTTATGCTATGTACGTCAAGTTAATATCTTGCAAATACTACCAAGTTAAAATATTTAGACAACTGTCATAAAAAAAGATTAATGTAACCTAATTTTTTTTCAAATCATATAGGGACTATTTGCTCCTGCACATGAAATAATGCAAAAAATCATGATATCATGGAAAATTTTAGGCAATTCGAGAACAAATAATTAAGTATTTTTGCCACTTGTCAAGCGTCATTGAAACTTTTCCCTAACCTCATATATAAACCCAGTCAAGTCCAAGTACAAGACAACCAAGTCCCAAAAAAACTAAAAGGAACATCTTTAAAACAACAAATCTGACCATCTATGGAGACAATTTGGACAGTCTATAGAGATCTTCCTACAGAATATAATTTCAATCGAATTGAAGAGATACATTGAAGACAACTGGGAACGTCTATGAACACAACAAGGACTGTCAAAAGAGACAATTCACTCGATATGGCTATCAAAATAGAGAACTAGAGGCTCTAAAGAGCCTGTGTCGCTCACCTTGGTCTATGTGCATATTAAACAAAGGACACAGATGGATTCATGACAAAATTGTGTTTTGGTGATGGTGATGTGTTTGTAGATCTTACTTTACTAAACATTCTTGCTGCTTACAATAATCTCTATCTATAATAAACTTGGCCCAGTAGTTACAGTGGAAAATATATTGTAAAAATTTACAAAAATTTACAAATTTTATGAAAATTGTAAAAAATTTACTATAAAGGGCAATAACTCCTTAAGGGATCAATTGACAATTTTGGTCATGTTGAATTATTTGTAGATCTTACTTTGCTGTACATTATTGCTGTTTACAGTTTATCTCTATCTATAATAATATTCAAGATAATAACCAAAAGCTGCAAAATTTTCTTAAAATTACCAATTCAGGGGCAGCAATCCAACAACGTGTTGCCTGATTGGTCTGAAAATTTCAGGGCAGATAGATCTTGACCTAATGAACAATTTTATCCCGTCAAATTTGGTCTAAATGCTTTGGTTTCAGAGATATGAGCCAAAAACTGCATTTTACCCTATGTACTATTTTTTAGCCATGTCAGCCATCTTGGTTCACGGGCGGGGTCATCGGACACATTTTTTAAACTAGATACCCTAATGATGATTGTTGACAAGTTTGGTTAAATTTGTCTTAGTAGTTTCAGAGGAGAAGATTTTTGTAAAAGATTACAAAAATTTACGAAAAATGGTTAAAAATTGACTATAAAGGGCAATAACTCCTTAAGGGGTCAACTGACCATTTTGGTCAAGTTGACTTATTTGTAGATCTTACTTTGCTGAACATTATTGCTGTTTACAGTTTATCTCTATCTATAATAATATTCAAGATAATAACCAAAAAACGGCAAAATTTCCTTAAAATTACCAATTCAGGGGCAGCAACCCAACAACGGGTTGTCTGATTCATCTGAAAATTTCAGGGCAGATAGATCTTGACCTGATAAACAATTTAAGCCCATTTCAGATTTGCTTTAAATGCTTTGGTTTCAGAGATATAAGCCAAAATCTACATTTTACCCCTATGTTCTATTTTTAGCCATGGCAGCCATATTGGTTGGTTGGCCGGATCATAGGACACATTATTTAAACTAGATACCCCAATAATGATTGTGGCCAAGATTGGTCAAATTTGGCCCAGTAGTTTCAGAGGAGAAGATTTTTGTAAAAGTTAACGACGACGGACGCCAAGTGATGAGAAAAGCTCACTTGGCCCTTTGGGCCAGGTGAGCTAAAAACCCAAGCCCCCTCTATTATAAAATGTGAACTAATTCAAACCACAAAACCAGAGTACTGATTTATGCTGAAAAAATACCCCAAAATAAAATATTGCATGCAGCAATATACGACAACCACTGAATTACAGGTTCCACATAACCTTCCTCTGACATGGAACAGTGGTGTGACAGCTATACACACTGTAAAGATCAGTGGGAAAGGGCTTGACTCATCAGATTGACACAAAGCACAAAAACAACTAACAAAAAAAACAAAACGCACAAAACACTAATCTACGAGGCTAGCAGTTACTATATGATATAGTTCTAATGCTCACAACAACTTACAAATACATCATGTTTGACCAAGCTTAAATGTCAATCAGTACCACATCCAATGGGACTCAAGAAAAAGAAATAAATTTTCAAGTTTACTCAAAAAACAAACAATTTTTTAAATGACATACAGGGACAAGGTTTTTTGAAACTCAATGCATAAAATCTTAAGGAAACAGAATTATACCAGTTTACCACATTAACTATGATATTTGTCCACTCTCTATTTCTATTATACTCAGTAACCCTGGCATTAATATCCTGAAGATACATATCATAATCAATGGGGTTTTATGGTATGGAATCTATTTTGATACCTAATTATTAATAACAAAAACTATGAAAAAGAACTGAAAAGGAAATGTCTGCAGGTTTAAAAAAAAAAAAAATGTTATTATCACTCATGTAAAAGGCTAGGCTATTTTAATGCTTATATGAATTAATCCAAGTTCATTTGGCCTCAACATACAAAAATATGGCGGTGTCATGTGCATTCCAATTATTTGCTTTTTTTTCAAATAGTACAAAACCTTAAAGCAACAACACATTTGCTCTACTAACTATCTCAATAATGAAGATATCTATATCATAAATTGGGCATTAGAATATCATAATAACTAAATCAATATTTCTAGTGTAACTAAATTGACAAGTTTTACCTGTTTAATTAACACTTTTGATGTGAGGATGGCAAGTTACTTTATAACGAGAACAAACAGCTTTGTCTAATGACTTATGGTTCTGATCTATGGGATTTATTTGTTCATCAGCAAATAATTACAGTTTTTAATGATCTGAAGACTAATAATTTTTAGGAACCGTAATACCTTGTGTCAAGCATTATGTAAACAAAAAATATCCTTGATTTTTAAAAGTTGAATACTGGATAAAGGAAATTTCAGTTATACCTTAATTGAAGACTGAAATTAAAATTAAATGACCCTGATCAGAACTGACTAGTATATTCAAATCAAACTACTTATTTCCATAGCTACTCTTATTGTTTCCATCATTTACTAGCAACAGTGAAAAAATGCCAATCTGATCAAATGTTGTAATGTTATATTTTCAACAATTAACTAAGTAATACATTTAAGCACAAATCAGAAATTTAGCCCTACCTTCCTTGGTACATTTATTGATCAGCTGTTTGACAATATCAGACAAAGGAGTGGCTTTCAAATCCTGTTTAGTCATCACAGCCACCATGTTGCCACTAGCTATGTCACCTTGTCCAGCTAAATATCTGGCACAACTAAATATCTCATATAAACACCTGTAAACAAATAATATATGCATGAACCATCATACTTAACTTTAAAAAAAGAGGCTCCTAGTAGCTTAAAAATGAAAACACCTCCTTCAAACTTTATTTAAAAAAAAAGATAAGTTTGCAATAACTGAAGGTCAGGATGGGGGTCCTTCATTTCTTTGTTCTTTAATTTTTTTAGACCATTTTTCTGTTTTCTTTATTAATTTTGCTCATTATTCTCTATTATTTATATTACAGCACCCCATTATTCTCTATTCTTTATATTACAGCACCCCATTATTCTCTATTCTTTATATTACAGCACCCCATTATTCTCTATTCTTTATATTACAGCACCCTATTATTCTCTATTCTTTATATAGTTCAGCAACCCATTATTCTTTATTCTTAATTTTGTTTTGCCCTTTATTCTGCACTTATTGCCCATTATTCTCTATACTGTAATCCCATCTAAACCCTCATACACCACCTAACCAGGTTTGCCTGTGTATATCCACTGAAAACAACTTGTTGAAAAACCATTTGATAATACAAGTTTGTGAGCAATCAACCCACTCCCAAACATGGCACAGCGCCGTAACAGTACAATCAAGTTTGTTCATAACCTCATGGCTGTAAAATAGAACATGATTTAATTGTAAATTGTCTTACAATGGACTGTTCACAGACATTGAATGGTTAAGAGACAAAAAAAGTGATGACTATAGCTCACATGGCCCTATAGGTTATTGTAAATTCAGAAATTATTGCATGCATTTATTATTGCGATTTTTCAAGAACGGACAAAAATGCGAGATAAATTATTACGATATCAGGAAAATCTGCATACAGATGTATGTAACAGATATCTAAATGCGAGTTCTTATTATTGTGATAGTCACTCAGTCTCATTATTCTCATTAATTAAAACCTTGCAATAATTTCTGAATTTACAGTACTGGTATGTGACATAAAAAAGACCTGGATATTGTGTTTGAACACAGATGTCTCTCCTTATAATAACTACACAAACTAGAGGCTCTGAAGAGCCTGTGTTGCTCACCTGCATCTTCAACAATGGCTTCTTTTAGGTAAAAATCATCATTAAAGGGCAATAACACCAATAACGAGTCGACTGAAGATTTGGCAAATTGGGCCATTACGGCTAATATTTGTGGATCTTGTCTTGCTGATCATAAGTGCTTTATAAAGATTCTATCTATCTATTACAGTTTTCAACATAAAAGGAAAAAATAGTAAAAATTGTCATTAAAGGGCAATAACTTCAATAAGTAGTTAACTAACAAATTCAGTCATGTTGACTTATTTGTAGATCTTGTCTAGACGATCGTTTTTGCTATTTAAAGTTTCTATCTATCTGATATAGTTTTTAAGATATAAGGCCAAAACCCCAAAAATGGTTAAAATCATCATTATAGGGCAATAACAGTTTTGATGTAAATGAACAATAGGTAGAGCTCAACATTCTGCCTTGTCAGATTTTCTCTATTTATAGTGGTTTTCTAAATAATAGGCAAAACTTGCATTTTACCCCTATGTTCCATTTTAGCCATGTTGGCCATCTTGGTTAGCCGGCAGGGTCTTCGGACACATTTTAAACAAGATACCCTAATGATGATTGTGGCCAAGTTAGGTTAAAATTGGCCCAGTTTTTACAGAGGAGAAGATTTTTGTAAAAGTTAACGACGACGACAGACGATGGACGCCAAGTGATGAGAAAATCTCACTTGGCCTTTTGGTCAGGTGAGCTAAAAAGCTACATTTGGAACTATAAATTTAAAATTTGAACTATTGATTTAAAATTTCCATTTATGTCTCTTTTTAATAAAGTTTGAAAATACAAAACTAAAAAATATGCAATTAGTTGTGATGTCATGGAAAACCCTTTCTATGTTTTTTGTGAAAAAATACATAGTTGTTGGTCAATTCTCAAATAGTTTGATAACCTGCAAATATAGAGGGCATGCAAGTACCAACTAAATATTTTACCACATGCCTGTTTAAATGAACAAACCTTTCATATAAATATTTATATCATACTTGTAAGTGCTCGAAATTTCCAACACACAGGTGTTAAAATATGCATTTTTTGTTCATTTTTTGTGGAAAAGTGAAATATTTCCCATCATTAGACCATAAAATCAAAATCATGTTAGTTATTTATAAAATTTGAATGACGTTGCAGTCTAAACATTGCACATACCTATAAATTATTTTTAACAAAAATCATATTATTTTGTAATACTTCAATTTCTAGGCCAAATAGGACCTAAAGCACATCTCTTTTTGTCATTTCTGTGATAATCAATGAAAAGAATTTTTAATCATATAAAATAGAATTTATTCATTCTTGCGATTTACTTAATTATGACAACATTTTAAATACCATGAAAGTTAACCATCAAATTAGTCTATTTGTTAATATTGTTCATAATATTTTGCTTTGTATAACTATAACAATTCCAAAAGGTCATATCTTTGATCAAACAGCCTGAAGTCTGGGATTGGGATAAATAGTAAAATGTCAACTGTTGAATATCAATTTTTATTATCATACACCAAAGAGTCATTTAATCTGTAAAACTAAATCTAAATTTTTTTCCTAGGTTTATGTGTGTTTGCCAAAAACTAAATTGTTTCCAAGGTTTATGTGTGTTTGTCAAAATTCTAAATAAGCCTACAGGCTCTGCATAATTTATAAGAGGTTTTCATTTAATAAATTGAATTAGCATATCTTTAACCACAAAAATATCCTAAAATTAGCATGCATTAAGTATTATATGCTGAAAGTAATAAAAAAAAACCCAAATATATCACACAATATTTTTAAATCTCAACCTTATTTCTAATCTAAATCCTCATTCAGATGGTAAATGAAACATATTTCAAGTTGAATAGATTTATGATAAAAGCAGGATCAGACTTTAATATAATAGCACAGTTATTGTGTGCCAGGATAATAATTACAACTAAAATAGCCTAATTGTTTCAACATATTTTATAACTGATAAACTATTTACAGAACATTAATTTTATATAACTAGAGGCTCCTAGAAGTCTTAACTCAGATGTAAAACTTCATTTTAGTCACTCAAGTTTAATTTATAGGTCAAAGTGACTGATTTATTTCTGCCCATGATGAATCCTTCTACCAGTTTATATGAATTTAGATCACTTGGTGTCTAAGCTCTGAATTCAAACATACATACTTAATCTAAGTGGAAGTCAATAAAATTTAAAATATAGTTCAAAGTGAAGTTATTTTTAGCAGACACTGCTCTACTCTCCTTGGTGCATCCACATACCTAGTTATAAACTTAATTAAAGTCATTGTAGTGTAAAATTATAGATCAAGTGACCTACATTATTTAAGTCTGCTAATCTCCTTTTTAATATCAACTGTATATTTATGTAATGAAGCTCAAAAACTTGAGTCAATGAACATGAAATATATGTCATGTGACCTTCAAACAATATCTCAGAGATGCATCTGCACATCATATTATATGGCTACATTTTCATGAGTTTCTGATAACATGCTTTAGACACTTAAGGTTCTCCAATAGCCTCCAAGACTAGATTAAGTATGTATGTTTGAAATGTATGTTTTTATTACATTTATTATGAATCTCCAAAAGATTCTGAACTATAGCCTTCGACTATGATAATGTCATTGTCAGTTTTTCTTTAAGTATTAGTGTTTGTTTAACAAAATCTTCTGTGTCATTTTGCTCGACATTGACAAATCAAGCATCTTCCTCGTCAACAAGCTAATGAGGTCATTGAGAACAGGCAGAAATATGAATAGGGCAATTCTGCTATTATTGCATATGCAAAACCCAATGTTTTGTAACAAATATACGATAATTATTTTTTTCACACAATTTTTGCCCTTCTGCATTTTCATATTTCAAATAAGGGCAGCAAACATACATAAACATCTGCTTGGCACTTATCACATTATAAATGTCATGCTAATAAAACATAAAACCAAATTGTGGAATCAAATTTGTTTTTTTATTGTTTTATAAAAATCTCCATGATATTTTCTGTTTTACCCTTTCTAATCCTTACCACATTTCCTGGCTTTTCTTCTTCAGATTTTTAGGTGTGCTATCCTGAAGTTTCTCGGTACTTTTCTGTGCTCTGATGTATCTGATGAAAAAAATTAATTTACTTAAGATTATTTTATGAAAAATTTCTTCTGGAGTATTTGAAAAAATGTAAAACCACTTGTATAATTTCCTGTTACAGATTGTTAATAACTAGTTTAAAAATGTCACTAATTCTTCCTAAAACTTCATGTCACTTTGTTCTTCTGACCCATCTAAAATTTGGTACAAAAAATTCCCAATTTTGCTTTATGGTTAAAAATATGGAATTTATGAATGTGAGATTCCCCAAAAGGTCTGAAAATTTCCAGAACTTCTGTATTCAACTATGGGAAATCTGCAAAATTATACAACCATTGATCAACTTCCTGAGAAGATCTGCTGGTAAACTATTTTAATCAACTTAAAATACAAGAAGGTGTTGTTTTTCTCTTGGAATATCAGTATGTAAATTGCATCTTGATAATAGGTGCTTCACTATAAACAACTGATAACAAAATGATGAAATCAGAGTCACATCATCCTTAGGCCTATTTCTGAGAGGATGAAATCAGGGTCACATTATCCTTAAGGCCTATTTCTGAGAGGATAAAATCAGGGTCACATCATCTTTTGGACCTAATTTTGAGAAGAGGAAATCAGAGACACATCATCCTTTAGGCCTAATCATTTAGAGGACTGAATCAGGCCAGGGTCACATCATCCTTTAGGGCTATTAATTTAGAGGACTGAATCAGGGTCACATCATCCTTTAGACCTAATTTTGAGAGGAGGAAATTAGGGTCACATCTTTCTTTTGGGCCAAATTTTGAAAGGATAAAATCAGCATCACATCATCCTTTAGGCCTATTCATTTACAGGACTAAATCAGAGTCACATCATCCGTTGGACCTAATTTTTTAGAGGACTTATTTAATAAGGGTTACATCATCCTTTGGGCCTAATTTTGGAGATGCAAATTTAATGTATTCTGTGACGACATACAATGTCACATCTTCTTCACATCAAACTATCTTTAACCTTATAAAATCTTTTAATGATTACCAAAGCATAAACTTGAGGTCCCGTCATTCTTTGAACCACTATTTATTTTATTGTCAATAACATGGTATAATCTGTGGTAATATAACTGTAAAAAGTTGTGTTTTGTTAACATTTTTTATTCAAAATTCAAATTCTCTTTTTCCAAAATACATCTTTATGTTAGAAGCTATATTTTTATTGATATATAAAGTTAATTTTAATTATTTGCCTAATCTATATTATGCAATTCTAGTAAAAAATATACAAATTTAATAAGATATGTCATAGGCTAAAGATTCAGTTAAAGATTTCTTCTTTCTACTGGTTTAGTAGTACATGTAGTAGGAAAATTGACCGTGAGAGACCATCATGGGTAGTCAAGGTTATTAAACACCCGTAGTAGTTTCTACTGGTATCCTTTGAAATATCTCACACTTAATTCTGCCTTACCGTATATATATGTAAAAAGTCAAGAACATAATCAGTTATTTTTTTGATCCATTGGTCTTTTTAAACTTTAATTCTTTATATCAATAAATCTTAATTAAATAAAACAATATTTAACATAACTATTAAATATGTTTTTCTTTTCAAGATGTTATTTTAATGACATATATAAGAATACTAAATATTTTCATACTTTAATCAAATTTGTTTTAGGTTAAGAGGCACACTTTTAATCTTATGACCCAAAGGGTTGACATGGTTATAGAAATATGTTCACTTTGACATGTCCCATCTGACAATAAAAACCAAGCTGATGGGACATATATTTGGCTATGTAAGATCATATGTATAATTATGTTGACTGGACCTTTTTTTGAATATAACTTGAAAAGTAAAAGCAAAGCCCATATCAAATCTTAGTCATAGAAGAAAAGAAAATGGCAAAAAAATCTGTTCATAAAAAAATCAAAAATTTGGGAAGCCTGGCATTAAAACTAGATTTATGACTATCAAATCCGAAATTGACAGCAGCAACTCGGTTACAGTGCTACTATTCTATAATTTGACTCTGTATCTTTACAAGTTAGATTTCAATGTATATCCTTTTAATGAAGTAGCAGGTAAAAAGATATATTTTGGGTCTACTGGATTGATTCAGTCAAGAGGCAAAGGAATCCTCTATTTCCATTTTTGGGGCATATTTGGTTAATCTGTATTAATTCTATTAGCCTGACAAAAATCGAAATCTTAAAGAATACCTTCAACTTCTTTACCTTGACCTTAAAACTCCAATACAGAAAGTCCAATAATTCACCAAATCATGTATGATCATACTTCTAGGGAGGGATTTAACGACCTTGACTACCCATGAGGTATATGATAATAACTTACCTGTTTCCTTTCCTGAATTCTGTTTCCAGCCATCTAATGGCCTCTCTTGCTCTAACAGACTCTTTTTTCATATAATCTAAAGTATCAATCACTGAAGAAAAAAATTCAATTCTTTCAGTTTTAACAATCTTTTTGTCTGATTGTGAACATGAATCAGACTGTCTAAGAACAAACATTTCAAATCAATTAAAAAAGCAAACTAACTATATGTATAAGTATAACAATAACAAAAGTTTGTCTCATATATAATATAGGATTTCGTTTATGCTTTAAGTCTATCAACAACCATTTTTGTGTTATGTATACTCAACATTAGTTGAATCACTGAGAGTTTGATGTAGATATATGTCCACTACATAAATACCCCTACTCCTTCTTTAGTGCTACTTTTGTGTGCAATATTAGGACAAGACAGTCACTTGAGAGTCATTGATATTGAAAAAAATAGAAAAGGTTTTAATTGAATAAAAAGTTTGAAAATTTCAGATTAAGTGGTATCAACCTATACTAATATGAGGCAGGTGCTTTTCAGATGGCTAAATGGTATCAAACTAAAATAATATGTGGCAGGTGCTACCTCATGATCTCCAGAAGATTATTGGTGCATATTTGTTTTATTTAAAATCCTACATTCGGTAATCAGATATATAGAATTAAATTTGCAGGAAATCATATGCTCTTTTATGATGTTGTACGAAAAATCACTTAAAGGAACAAAATTTCAAAAAAGGTTTTTATCGTCCACCATCTTGTTGAAGGTCTTACAGTGTGTTAGTGAAATGACCCAAATCCTTCTTCTATCATTTATGCTCCCGAATTTTAGCATAATATTTTTTCCAAAATAAAGTATTAACTGGAATAAAAATTAGTCTGAACAGATACTACATTAACACTCACCAGCTAATGGTATTATAACTATTCCTTTATTTGTCTGAGTCAGTTGTTTAACATTTACACTCACCAGCTAATGGTATTATACTACATTTACACTCACCAGCTAATGGTATTATACTACATTTACACTCACCAGCTAATGGTATTATAACTATTCCTTTATTTGTCTGAGTCAGTTGTTTAACATTTACACTCACCAGCTGATGGTATTATACTACATTTACACTCACCAGCTAATGGTATTATACTACATTTACACTCACCAGCTAATGGTATTATACTACGTTTACACTCACCAGCTAATGGTATTATAACTATTCCTTTATTTGTCTGAGTCAGTTGTTTAACATTTACACTCACCAGCTAATGGTATTATATTACATTTACACTCACCAGCTAATGGTATTATACTACATTTACACTCACCAGCTAATGGTATTATAACTATTCCTTTATTTGTCTGAGTCAGTTGTTTAACATTTACACTCACCAGCTAATGGTATTATACTTAATTTACACTCACCAGCTAATGGTATTATACTACATTTACACTCACCAGCTAATGGTTTTATACTACATTTACACTCACCAGCTAATGGTATTATACTACATTTACACTCACCAGCTAATGGTATTATAACTATTCCTTTATTTGTCTGAGTCAGTTGTTTAACAAGTTGTAGAGAGTCACACAGTGAGGAAGTGTCTGGTATTAAGTATGGAGGGAAATGTCCTTGATCACTGTTATCTAATGATCCCTCTAACTGTGTCACCTCAGCCTGAAAAAAACAAACAAACAGGTTTAAAGGATTATGTTGTGAGGTTGTGTCTTCTATCATGTGTTGAACAATGACTTATAAAATGCCATCATGATAGAAGTATTCATATGCAAGTCAAACTTTCGTAAACCAATGTCACTTATAAGTAGAAATGTTTTTTTTCTGGTTTCAAGATACAGAGTCTGAAGCTTTGGAAACAGTAAGAATATTTTTTATTTCACTGTACTAGCATGGAGTTGCACCAAACTAACAACATTTGCTATTATGCTTTACCAGTTGATCGTTTTGTATTGGTAAATTCCAACTGTGATTGGGTTAAACTTTTAAGCAATGGGTATTGTGAAATGAAAAAGAATTTCAAATATGCAGTTAAATTTTATTGTTATATTGGTTTTACTTATATGTTTTTTGAATGAAAAAAACAAATAAAGGCTTTTCTGTTTACCAAATTAATTTTGAAAGGGAAGAAGAAACAAAATTTTATCTTTGAGAGGTGTATCATACCTGAAGTCTTAACTGTGCCATGTCCTTCATTAGCTGATTTCTTCTACTCTCTGCCACAGCCTGCAATGCCAAAATATAGTCACATCATGACAACTATTCAACGGAAAAAGTGGTGTATTAATTCATGACACAAAATCCTTAATAGCCATTCAAACAAATAAAAGCAAAGCAACAGCCTTTCTTATTGCTATTTATCTTAAAGACATAGTGAGGACTTAACATGGAGCGAAATCTCAAAATTTACTACAAGTTCAAGATTGCCACATAACTTGTACATGTATTCTAGTATAACGGTCTTCTTTCTCTTTGCAAACAAAGTCATGTTCTATTTCCAATATAACAAAGGGTGCACATGTGTGACGTCACAATTAAATTTGAAACATTAATTGTATTTGAACATTTTTATTTGTAAACATATAGTATTTGTTTGTTTTCATCAAATCAGACAACTGCCTTTCAAATGTGTCTCCATTAGTTTCCCTTTCAAGTCCAAAAGTTCTCAATGTTCCTAATAAAATTCTATCATGCCATGATTTATACTTATTTTAACATTATGTAGGCATTATATTTGTCAACATTTTCCAACTGGCTAGCGCCCAGTAAAAATATATATATAATGCCTATCCATGTTAAAATGAGCATAGAGAAAATACAGATTAGTGATGTTTGTCAAAATCTGAACAACACTGAAAACTGTTGTTGAACTAAGTGAAAGCCATGAAATTAATGTGATAAAATGTAAATATAACTGGTGCACAACTTAACATGCTGCAGAAGACTGCACAAGTTTAGTTAGTTTCTGTCACATGGTGTAAAAGGAGTTTCTATGCTGACAACACAGTAAAACACTAAGTAACATTATGCTACTTGAATAGATTCAATCTAGCATTATGTAAGAGGAGAATAATGATTCTACAGTCTAAGATTATGTTTGTTTCCAATAATTATGTCATTGTTTATTTTCTGTTTTTTATTCATTCCCAAAGTAATTGTATTTACCAAGTGTTTTCAATATTTGATAAGTCACACCATTGAAATCTTTTTATATTTAATGACAAACTAATTCAATATCTTCTTAGATAACAACTGATGTAATTATTAACTGGTACAAAGAGTTTGTAAAAGTACATGAGTATGAACTTATTAATAGTCATAGGAAGTACGACAGCAATAAAAATATTGGTGATCAAAACAATGAAAAAACCTCACAGGGTATTTATAGCTTTACTAATCAACATTTTCATCTGATCAGCTGCTTCACTTGTTTAATCGACCATTGATACTTTATTGACACATTCTGGTTTCCTGTTAAGTGTATTGGTATTGTACTAAGAGCTACACCCACCAAAAATCTTCAGCTTTCTCTGTTTTTCAATTTAATGAAATAACACAAGGCTAATCGTCTGTCAGCAAGATTAATACCTTTATGCAACTTGACCCATATGCATCATTATCTTTCTAATTTTTTTTTAATGAATTTTCTGGTTTTATCCTTAGTCACAGTCTCAACAACTGCTGCCAAATTATGTGATCATGTTGGTGCTGGATGTAGGGTCGGAACAGAAAATATACAAGTTTGTTTGTATGTTGTTGTTAAACTCCACTTTCAGTGCCCTTGGCTATATCATGGTGACCAGTTTTCATTGGTGGAAGAAGATGGAGTTCCTGGGGATACCACTGACCCAGGGTAGGAAAACTAACCTGAATAATTCAGTCATTATATTTTGCTGCTCTACAATTGCAACACAAACCTCTCAAGTAGGAGAGATCGCTTACAGCGAGGGACTGATTTATTCAGTTAACAGGAAAACTGGCAATTCTTGTTAATTAAGATTGGAATCAAATGCACCTTGCAAAATATATAAATACAAGTAAACTTATTAATTAATGAAACAATGAAAAACAGCAATCCCTGAAACTATTTCTTCTAGAAATTTAGTTATGTATTTTTTAAAATATCGACTAATGTAGTTTCCTAAATTACCTAAATGTATTTAATTTAAATTAATTTAACTAAAAATAACATGTATACTGTAAATTCAGATTTCTGTGAAAAGACTCCTAATCACTGAGCGGAACTAGTCGCCTACTATATTTGGGTGCAAAATACAAGTATTGTCAAGTACTTGATGTGGAAATTGTGCCCGCCTCATCCAATTTAGTATCACTTAACAACAGGAATTATTTCAATGAGGTCTGAATTGACTTCAAATTTCAAGTACATAAAACACTTAGGAGGAAATATTTAAAGACCAACATCAAACAAAACTATCATTATCTTTATGTAAAACTTATATTTTCATAAGTATTCCTGCAAATCAATTAAATAAAATAATTCTACATTGAAGACAGGTATTACACTTTTTCAAATGGAAAGATTTTTAATTAAGTGGAAGTAAATCTTCAATTAATAGATACAAAATCTGAAGGACAACACAAGCAGCTTTCAGACATGGAAGAGAAGTATCAAAACCACTTCTTTCATATTCATTGATATGTGGCATTTGTGGAAAATGAGTAAAGATATTCCCTGACTAAGTTTAAGAAAACAAGATGTGTCTGACCAACATGAATGCCCTAGCTTGCAGCCTTATTGTTAAATGTACATTTGTGGGAATTCATATGAAAGGTGAGGTGTACTGGAGATATACACTGGCAACACTGTGTTCATGTTCATGGGTTTATAGTGTTGCAAAAATATGAAACTGAGAATTTCCTTATGTACCAATATTTGTTCAGTGGGAAAAGTCAGTCAATTAGAAAGAAATGCAAAGTTGATCTGTTAGTCATCATTATACACAAATGTACCAAAACTCAGCTCCAGAACTACAAGCATTACCAAGAAAGGTCCAAACAAGAACATTTTTCATGAAGATTTCAAGTCCAACTTCATGAAAAGTTGGTCAACCAGAACAAAACACAAACTATATCTATAAATCATCATTCAAAGAACCACAACTCAGTGTAAAGTTGATCAACCAGAACAAAACCCAAACTGACTTTCTATGAATCATCATTATATACTAATGTACAAAAACTCAGCTCCATTTCTACAGGCTTCCAGACAAATAAAATTTTCATTAAATTTTCTATGTCCAAGGGCTGTGACTCCATAAAAAGTCAGTCAACTGTTGTTTCTTGTACCATTGTCAGTCTCTTTTAAAAGAAAGAGTTTTCTCTATATGACATGTGACATTGTTATGCTGACTCCAATTCACTTTAATAGGAGATGGCACTATTTCAATGGTCACAATGCAGAGTGATAAGCTTCAGTAGACAATCAAAGTACTGAAGTACTGAACCTCGGATGACCGCAAGTTCTGGTGGATAGTCACAGGCACTTGTCTCAGAATAAAAATTCATATCTCTATACCTAAAAGTTAGGTTAAGGTATAGATAATTTTGTTTTCTGAGACAAGTTCCTGTGTGGATGATGAATAAATGACAGGGAATTCAACCTCACCACAATAATTATTATATTGTACTACAATAATTGTAGTGATATAATCATGGGACAATCATTTGTTATCAGTATAATCTGGTTTGTTGTTATATATTATATTAATACTGTGTTCATGTTCATGTTCATGGGTTTATAGTGTGGCAAAAATATGAAACTGAGAATTTCCTTATGTACCTTGTATAACAGTTATATATATAGCAGATCATTTTAATAACTCTATAGGCAAATTTTCATCCATTTATACCATCATTCGATTCTACTATTCTAATGATAGTCCAGTGCAAGTGCATGATGGACACTTTTCTGTAATAATATGTTTTTCTAATAGGTTTGATTTGAGTAGGCATTCATATTTTTCCCCCTGTTGTTGCAAAATGTCCTCGAGATATTCTTCAGCATGTGTAACACAAATTTTCGGTATTCATGATTTGTTACTGATAATTATATATATTTCTTACAAAAAAACATTTTCATATCATTTATCTATGTTCTTAAAAAAATATTTTCATGAATGTTTATTGATGAAATTAATATATAACAATTAAGCGATAAGAGATATTCATCCGCAAACACAATTTTTGGTACGTGTGCATAGATATTAATGATTATTTTACTTATATATATATATATATTTCTCACGACAAAACATTTTCATATTATTTATATATGTTCTTAAAAAAAAAATTTCATGAGTATTCATTGAAGAAATGAATTTATAACAAGCGATAAGGAATGTTATTTTGCACTCGATAATATCCGCGTATTTATACGAAATACATTCGGTTATCAGTCAAAAGGGCAAGGGACGTGTGCCTAAATTTCTGCGTGCCACATAACACCGGTATGACATCTCAAGGTCACATCAGAGGTAAAAAACATAAAAATCCAACTTTGTAACTTTTGTAACAAAACAGCACTAGCACCTTCTGTGCTAAATATACATTATAAGTAACACTTAGTGCTCATTCTTTCCTCTGGTTTGTAAAATCCGCTGCACACATCTTGGGAGGGCAAAGACTCAAATTGTCAAATTGTTGATTGCAGCAAATCAATCAAATAGTAAACATAGAACAATAATAGCAGATTCATACATATAACACTTGCACTCAAGGCATTTGTTTTGCAGCACAATAAAGGCAGACTATAAATAAAAGAATGGTTCATGGAATGGCATATCCCCTTAGTCAGGAGTCTGTCATTCAGTGGTTATAGTTGGTTGCTGTCTGCCATATATTTTTTAAGTATAAATAAGTCTTTGGTTTTCTCTTTTGAATTGTTTCCCAAGGGGCCTTTTATAGCATACTGTATGGAATGGGTTTTGCTCATTGTTGAAGAATGTAGTTACCTACATTTATTTAAATGCTTGGCCTTTTGTCTTTGGCAATCATACCACATCTTCGTATTTTTATATTCAGATTAAAATGTGCCTGTGATAAAACTGACTCAAATTACTGGTACTTGAATCATTTACAATGCAGACTACAGGAAATTCGTTGGACCGTCAGACAAATCCGATGAATAATGGATCGGTCTGGTAAAATTTTGTTGAATTCCGGTCCGAATGTTTATCATCTGGTTTTTTTTTTTTTTTAATTAT